ATAAGAATAGTTGTCTCGGCACAGGCCTAACGTTCAGAAGTCCTTTATTTTAAGCACTGACTGTTTACCCGCCTGGACCTTGGAGGCATGCTCAGTTGTCGTGTGCCAATGTGTCGCAGCAGTCACGTGCATCCTCTTACAAAGGTCGCAAACAAATGAGTCACACGATAATTACCTGGTCCAAAATCAGTTGATTCCAGTATTAGGATTACATTTTTTTCTGTCAAGCAGCCTCAATAACCCAAGATTCCTAGCGCTTGTTTACTCCGATCTACGAGGCAAAGGCAAAGGCCCTCGCCTGGTCATCTGTTGTTGACAGCTGCACACTTAACTATGGGCGGCAAAATACATGTGGCCAACTCCAAGTGGTCTATTTGTGGTTACCGGGGAAGGTGGGTGAAACTATAAAACAAAATTCGTTGTAAACTGAGAAATAAAAGTATGTGATATTAGGGACGTTTGGTCATTCGGAAGACCTAGATCGGTAAATGTCGAACTTACTCAACCATGCACAATTTGGTATGAAATATATGAGTCGGAGATTCCGCTGTAAGTATCTAAGGAAGCAAATTAAGTATCAACGCGTAGAAAGTCTCTACAAATGCAGTTTCAACGTCTGCATACATCCGACAAATGAATATATAATTATCTGGTATAGGGCAATCATTATCACCTAAATATCGACCCTTAGTGTTAGTACACAAAAATGTCCGCAATGATACACATCACCACTAAAAACGGCTTTATTCGATAAATTCCGAAAAGTAATGTCCTATCATCCCTTCATAGGACCGCTCAATGAAAGCCAATATCACTCCGCTACTTAAGTTCCGTGTCTTGTATTCCAAAGGGGACGGCTCTTTTTACTAAAATGCGCCTTTTGAAACTTTACTTTACTCGACATAATTATAACGAATCGCAGACTTCTTTTGCAAAGTTTGGGAGAATGACCGAACTAAGTTTGGCAGTAACTTGATTGATAAGCGACCCTCTTACAATAGTTAATGTCTACGATTGCAACCGATAGGATAACGGGTGTATGATACAGGCCTAGAGCGTTGGACTCGACGCTCAATAACCAAAGAGTACGGGGTTCCAAATTTCAGGTTTCTCAATTCTGGGCTTGAATAGGGCCTGCTGACGGCAGCTAATACGCCGGAAATGGCAATCAAAGTCTCGGTTGTCTTTGTCGGTACTAATTCTGCAGGCTCAACCGTTTGGAGGAAACGTTTTTCAAGATATTAATCAGGCGGAGTCCTCAACAATCCGAGGCGCTGATGTAGGTCGCATGGAGGATTTTGGAGGACTGCTTGAAACTTTTTCAATATAGTTTCCATGTTTTCCCAGGTTTTTGCGTTCTTCATCTGCCCTTCTCGCCAAATAGAGCCAAATAGCAGGGGTCTAATATTCAACTTCGGTTTACATTTGCTATTGAAATAGGCGGATTACATTGTGCAACTGTATGTAGGTGTAGTTTGACCAACTTGACCATAAATACTTTTAATTTTAAGTCATATCAAATGAGATTAAATAGAGCGGATACATGAGAGAAAAAGACTGCCATGTGATGAGTGGAGACGACAGAATACACGACAAAGAGTCTTAACGGTTGTAGATTGCGTATCCCGCCTCAGTTGCCAATACTGCCCGCGGATATTCAGTCACCGCATGGACATACTCGGTCAAATGATCCTCCGTGAAAGCCTGCGGTAGGACACCGCAGACCAAACTCCATCACCATACATCTCATTAACACCTACGCCAAACATAAACACGTCCCATGCCGTCCATTGTGGGCATTGGAGAGGCACGCATCACGTAAGTGAGAAGCTTGTCCTTAGTTTCTCCTTTATCTGGTTTCTATGGTATTATAATGCACGTGAGATCCGAATATTTGTGAGAAAATTCACATCGTTGTGCGGGCAACAGGTCGTATGTGGCACGCGTAGATGAGATGTGCCCAATCTCAGCATCAGTTGGATGGTTGGATCGGACAATCGACTGGTGCACGGGAGAGGAAAGAGAGAATTATGCTGACTCGGGGAACTTATTTCCACGGCAGGTCAGAGTATTCTTCATTATAATAAATTTAAGACGCATAAATCTACGACGACGCGCTTATTGTAGTGGGTTTGAAGATTAGCAATTGACGGCATGACTCAGACTCCGCAGTCGGTCCTGGATGTGTGTGTTTCAGCCCTAAACCGGCCACAATGGATTCAAACAGGCGTTATCGGGAATGCACACCCATAACAAAAGTCAACTTTCGGGTCGTGGTGGCACGCCCAGTCGCAGGTTCAGGCCTCGCACCTTGGGATCACTGCCGCCCTTCACTGTTTTTGTTGATCAAAATCCTGATCAGCGTATGTTGAGGATCAAGGGGTATGGTTGTAACCATGGCTGCGGATACGGGCATGCCAGTCATCCGCGCCCTCTCATGCCTACAATATTTTTGACCATGCCCTGACACCGGGTCCAGATGGGAGAGGAGGAGAGACTGCGGTCCCTTGCGGCCTCGGCTGCAGGGGTGACCTGAGTCCGAGACTATCCGGACACGTCAAACGTCGTGGATAGAAAGGTTGTTGATTGACGCCCCCACTCGGTCCTCGTCGCGTTGTGTGTGTGTGTGTTGTGTGGAGTGGCGGACTGATGGGCTGGGGACGGGCTGAAACAGCACCGTCTACGGCCATCTCACGCAAGTGAGAGACACGCCGTTCAACTCCCGTTGTGTGAAATCCTGGCGTATGTGTGTGTATGGGGGGCCAGGTCGTGCTGTGGTGCGCGCAGGCATGGTCATTCGACTGTGCCAGCCACCGCGCCCATTTCCCACTCCAGTCCACTGACCGGATCGGACAGTGGCTGGGGTTTGGGGATGGGAAGGGGGAGTGAGGTCGACGACTCAGCGCATCTTCCTCACTATAGACAATCTGACGCGCTTGAAGCTATCACGGTGCGCTAAAAGCCGTGGCTTGGATGGTTGCCAACTGACGGGGTAACTTGAACCTTCTCCTTGACCGGTGGTGGTCTGAGAGTCAGGCTGCAATGGCTCCTTTTTAATGTGGAATTTATGGCACTTCCACCACAGTGTGGGATTCGAGCCAGGCGCTGGCGGCACGCCCAGGTGCGGCTCCGGTCGTGCCAGCCTCCAAATCTCTGTTGTGTTGGTCAAAAGCCTGGTTATTGCTGTGTGGACCAGGGGGTGTGGTGGAACGCCAAGGTGAGGATCCGTCCGAGCCATCCACCTGCGGCCTCCCTCGTCTCCGGTCTTCTTGACTTGGTCTTGACACGGGGCTCAGGAGGGGGAGGAGGAGAGAGTGTAGGTAGATGCAGCGCAAGTCCACTGGCACTAGAAACCCCTACGCAAGTCACTCTGAATTTGAGTAAGAGACTTGTTCAAACACAGACGCCAAGCGTTTGATGACGGTCAACCAAGGCAAACGTACGAGTCGACAGCATGTAAGCGTGGGCAGTCGGATCAATAGATCCACCAGAGGCGAGCCAGTGCAGATGCCGTCTTCATGGGAGATTATAAGAAATTTTTGCACCTTGAAGAGCGGGAATTGTGAAGATCAGGAGCAGTGGTGATTCAAGCCAACGGCACCGTGCAATCCATATGAAGGCCATTGGCAAGACAGGTGAAATTTTTCGGAGAGCTATCAGGGCTCCCGATCGACCGTAGACAACCTTCTTTCAGATGCTGACCGTATGAAGTCGCCTAGACGACGAGCAGTACGGGTGTCAGAGGTATTTCAAAGTAGGAAAGTCGTTCGTTCTTAGTGAGTTTTACTCGAAAGGACAAACACAATTACTTCCTAGTGCACGTGGAGGATTGGCTTGGAGATTCGCCACTACTTGCTGCAGTCACTGTTAAGAATTACTCAGAAGATTATTGAAGGAGCGATTTTCCTGATAATTTGTTGCAAAAAACGCAAACGGTATCCTGTGAGTCGTGGTTTGGGGATTTCAAATGGGCGTCTAGACATGTTACCAGATTTACCTATCCATATTGCAATGGTTCCCTCCTAATGTGGCTTCCGTAAAATGTCCTACTCAGAGTGTCGTAAAAGTGCACAATGAGGCATATTTTGACAAAAAATTAAAGCCACGGTAGTGAGTGTAGACTGTGGAGAGTGATGTTCAGGAAAATCGCGACCAAAATAAATGGAATGCTCTCGACCTCTCTCTCTCTCTCTATCTCTCCGTCCGTTCAGTAGTGCGTAAGTCGTGGTGTGTTCTTTACGCGGGTGTCACATGACCGGGTCGGCTGAATATTGGGGGAGGGTATCCGTGTCTACATGTGCACACACGGTACTGTGGTCTCCGCTGGCCGGATGGATCTTCGCTTCGACGTCGTCGAGACGAGGCTCTGCCTGGACCATCACAGGAGACTATCAGGTAAGTGTATCCTTAGGTAAGTGAACTTTGCTCTGTTTCCTTCCCTCCTTGCCTCACTTGCCTTCTTATTTACCTGCGTAAGTCCCGTGCTGTATGCTGATCTTGTTGCCTGATCTGCATCTGTTCGTCTGTGCCTCTGTGCTAATAGCTAGGTGTTACTTTGGTTGACTTCGAATGATGCCCTTCTACTTCTGTCCCTCACTGACGACTATGTCTGCATGTACATCGACGGCGCTAGCAATCCTCGGACGCGCACGTCCTCAACACCAAGACTGGTTTGATGACAACGACGCCGTAATCAGCAATCTACTCGCCGAGAAGAACCGTCTACACAGAGCATACGTAGACCACCCCCACTGACGATAACAGAGCTGCTTTCTATCGCAGTCGCCGCCTCCTGCAACAGCAAATGCGCGAGAGGCAGAAGGCCTGGACTGCTCGCAAGGCTGAGGAGATCCAAGGGTACGCGGACTGCAACGAATGGAGGAAATTCTACTCCGCGATCAAAGCTGTCTACGGTCCGTCGACCAAAGGCACTGCTCCTTTACTCAGCGCCGACAGTAGTAACCTCCTGACTGAGAAGACACAAATTCTACACCGACGGCATGACGGTGCGAGTCACGGACAACGGAGCTGTCTCAGAGGCATTCGCAGTGACCAACGGAGTGAAGCAGGGATGCGTGCTGGCGCCCACCCTCTTCATTCTTATGTTCTCTGCCCTGCTGATGGACACCTACGGTGATGAACGTCCCGGGATCCGCATCGCCTACAGGACGGACGGTCACCTCCTGAATCAACGACGGATGCACTTCCAATCGCGCGTATCCACAACCACCGTTCACGAACTCCTCTTAGCCGACGACTGCGCCCTGAACACCACCTCGGAAGAAGCGATGAAACGGAGCATGGACCTGTTCTCCGCTTCCTGTGAGAATTTTGGTCTGGTCATCAACACGCAGAAGACGGTGGTCATGCATCAACCGCCACCCAACACAGCCACTCCTCCCAACGCACTGCCGCCGAAATCAGTGTGAACGGGACGCAACTGCAAGTGGTGGAGAACTTCCCATACCTGGACAGCACCCTATCCCGTAACACCAACATCGATGAAAAAATCGCTCGCAGGATTTCGAAAGTCAGTCAAGCCTTCGGTCGCCTGCAAAGCACAGTTTGGAATCTTCACGGTCTCCAGCTCAGCACGAAGCGTGGCTTGGACTGCGCCCGTCGGTGAGATGACTTTTTCCAACTCTCCACCACAAATTACCTCCGGGACATCCCTTCAGGCTGCGTGTGCCCCAGGGTAGATTGAAGGTGAGAAAATATTTCTTCTCCAATCGTGTCGTGGAACCGTGGAATAACCTGCCCGAGATGCTTGCCATGTTTTAATCTGTGGAGACATTTATATGTCGGCTTGACAGATATATGTTGCAGCAACAAGCGGACTATGTGACTTTTTAAGCATTAGACCAGTGATATATGTGAATCAATGTATGCATTCACTTAATACTGTAATTTATTCATATATTTGCTTATTTATCGATTTTTATGTACGAATAGGGAGTTCAAAGGCGTAAGAATATTTCCCTCTAATACACTGACTGACTGAATAAAGCTGAAGATGTACAAGGCCGTCATCCTCACGACGCTGCTGTACAGAGCGGAGACTTGGCAGTGTACACAAAGCAGGCACGCCGACTCAACCGCTTCCATATCAGTTGTCTTCGTCGCATCTTGAGGCTGGGCTGGAAGGATAGAATCCCCAACACTGATGTACTGGAACGGACGGGAATCCTCAGCATCTACACCATGCTGAGACAAATGTAGCTGCGTTGGAGCGGCCACCTGGTGCGCATGGACGACGAGCGACTACGCAAACGACTCTTTTACGGAGACGTCGCCACAGGTTCTCGCCGCCAAGGAGGCCAAATTCGCCGATACAAGGATACGCTGAGGTACTCCCTGAAGCGTCTGCAAACTAACCCTACCACCTGGGAAGACGTCGCCCGCGATCGACTTACCTGGAAGAGGACAGTGAAGACAGGAGCTGCGATCGATGAAAACAACCGCATCGCCGCCGCCAAAGTAAAACGCAAAGCACGCAAATCACAGATGCGTACACTCCGCAACGCCGACTCACAACCGCTTCCAACGTGTCCTCGATGTCAACGGACATTCC